TCCTCCAAAAGGCACTTGGCAAGGACAGAGGCACAGGCAGCTGCTGAGATCTCACCCAGTGCTGGGCATCCTGATGCTAAGCCAGGCTTGCTTGGAGCGGGCTGGCCCCCCGGTCCTAGACCCTCATGACATCAATGCTGTGGGAGCCAGTTTCTTCTCCAAAGTCATGTGTGACCTTCCTCTGCTGAACTGTGACAGGGCTTCGGTCATCTTGCCCTCAGCTTCCTTTTCTCAGCCCAGATCGCGGGTATAAGTAGTATCGTGTGTCTGTGTGTTCGCAGCCGTTCCATAAATGCCGTGTAGGGACTCGATTCACCTCCCAGGCCCTCTCCCGGGCCTCAGCCCCGCCACACATGCTCATCCTCGTCACCCCGTTTGCACAGATCGGCCGGGGAGTCAGGGCCCACTCTCCTGCCTCCTCCCCGCTGGGCGGCTCTGGCTCTTGACCTGTAGTTTCAGGGGCGCAAGAAACGTGCCCCCCCCCCCCCAGTTCGCCCGTTTCTCCCACAACCGGGGGAGCAGGGTGGTTCTCCGTGGAGCGCTCCGGCTCTGGCCAGACTGGCTGACTCCAGGCCCAGCTCACCACCTCCCAGCCGAGTGGCCCCGGTGAGCGCCTGAACCCTCCTCAGCTCGTTTCCCCGTCTGTGAAATGGGGCCGATAATACCGTCTTCCTTGCAGTGTTATGAGGATTAGGTGAGATAATGCGTCCGGCACGTCGTTGCCCTTGAGGGGCCTTTACTTTAGTGAAGGAGAAAGACGGTCTTGACAACTGCCAGGTGGTCAGCGTGGAAGAGGCTGTTGGCATTTTAAACGCAGAGTTTCATTCCTGTTGCAAGATACGACAGGAGTGGTTAATAACAGGGGCTTTGAAGTCGAACCCGAGTTTGAATCCAAATCTCGCCAGCCAGCTGACCTTGGGCAAGCTGCTTAGCTCCTCTGATCTCGGTTTCTGATGGGAACTAAGCGAGATGGTACATCTACGTAGCCCCAGGCACACCGTAAACCTTCAAGAAATCGTAACCGCGACTGTTATTGCTGTCATTAGTAAGGTTTGGTCCCTGGGAGGTACGTGTGGTTAGCAGACACTTACATTTTAACAAAACGAAGGAAGGCAAGGGGTGTGCAGAAGGAGGTGGAAGGTTCAGAAAGGATGTCAGGGCCGCTGAGAACAACTGCTCACCTTCCAGAAAGAGCCGTGGCCCTGGCTGCCATGCTTCTCTCCCGACGCCTCTTCCACCTCCAGGCCCACACTGGACTCAGCAGGGAGGCAGGAGGGCCAGGATCGGACAAAGGAGGCTTACGGGGCCAGTAGAGGCTGGGTGTGCCCTGAGCGCCGGGCACAGTTTACCCGCTGGACGAGGGCGGGTTCCTCCCTTCCATGCTGTGTCTCTGGCACCTGTCACAGCAGCCGCCCGGCCACGCCACTGCCCGGGGAGCTGCGGCTGCCGCGTGGCACACCAGCCCTGCCTCCCAGGGGCCAGGGAAGCCCCCGCATCTTGAAGGGCGTTAGAGGTGCTCTTCGGGTCCTAAACGCTGGTCCCCTGCCAAGACAGGGGGAGACGTCTGAGAGCCCAACACAGCAGAGGCTCTTGTACCCTCAGAAGCACGGGTCGGAACTGCAGCGGTGACATGCTTTCAGCCCCCTCCACCGCGTCCCCTTCCCCGCCGTCTCCTTTCCTCGGGGCTCTGCTGAGTCCTCCCTGCTCCTCCTTTCCAGCAGCCCCAGTGCTCCACTGCCTGCCTTCATCGGCACCGCACACCGTCCTTCCCTGCAGCCCCAGCCTCGGTGAAGCCACCAGCTGGCCAGACTCCCCCAGACGGCTCGTGCTCTTGCCGCCCAAGGCTGAAAGCAGACGATGGCTCTGTGCCAGGCTGCAGCTGGGGAGAGACTGGCCAGGAAAGGGACTGATTTGGGCTGGGAACAAAACAGCCTCAAATCCCGGACACTGGCCAGGGAGCACAGACAATGGCATTTGCTAAACCGCCAGGGGCTCTTGGCAAGAGCCACGTTTCTTTCCACTTTATTAACTCCCTTCAGGAGGGACAAGCCAGGGCGAGGATCCTGAGCAACAGGCCCCCTGGGAGAGGCGCAGACAGGACACGCAGAGCCCTCCAGCCCGCTGGACCTCCTCAGCGTGTTTCTGCAGCCGGCGCCTGTGGCCAGGGCTGCGCTCCGTCCCGAGCCACGAGTCCACACGCCTGCCTGTAGCACGGCCTCCAGATGTCTACCCTGCACCCTCCCTGCTGTGGCCCAGAGTCTGCCCTTTCTGGGTCTCCCCTTGGCTCAGCAGTTAGAGCTGCTCTGGACCGTCCCGCACTCTATAAAGAGCTTTTTCTGGTCTGGTCTGTGGAAGGCATCCGCTTACAATACAGGGCCACACACTCTTCTCCCACCCGGAGGCTTGGATGGGGACTGCTGGGAATTGGGTTTCCCCGGATAACCCCACACCCCTACCTGAACTTCCTTCAGCAGAAAAATCGCCTCTCACCCTTCCTTTTACCTAGTGTGGTCTGGTTGACGAAGCCCAGGACTGGCTGTCATGTGTGACTCCCAGTTTAGTCCTCACTCGGGGCCAGCGGCCACTGTTTCTCAGCCTTGATCCTTGGCAGAGAAGGCTAATGGGATCACGGAGAGCGCTCTCAGCTCTTAGGAAAAATTAGCCCTTGATTATTAGTAAAAGAAGATCACAGTATAAATTCTATAATGCCCTAAATCTCTGAATTGGACTCTGGAATGAGCCTTTTTTGGGGGGGAAGCGGGGGGCAGCTATTTCTCTAATGTTTCATTTGGTTAGAAATTATTATTATTATTTTTAAGTACGCTCTATACCCAACGTGGGGCTCAGACTCATGACCCTGAGGTCAAGAGTCTCCTGCTCTTCTGACTGAGACAGCCAGCCACCCCTCAGATAAAAATCAAAGCGGGGGCGCCTGGGTGGCGCAGTCGGTTGAGCGTCCGACTTCAGCCAGGTCACGATCTCGCGGTCCGTGAGTTCGAGCCCCGCGTCGGGCTCTGGGCTGATGGCTCAGAGCCTGGAGCCTGTTTCTGATTCTGTGTCTCCCTCTCTCTCTGCTCCTCCCCCGTTCATGCTCTGTCTCTCTCTGTCCCAAAAAATAAATAAATGTTGAAAAAAAAAAAATTCAAAGTGAATTAAAGTAGAGTGAAAATTCAAGTAAATTCCCATAAAAGATCACCCACGAGGGGGAGGGAGGCGGCCCAGAGGGGGCCTGGGGGCAAAAGAGGGTGGAAAAAGAAGTAACTGACAAGCGGGTCTTGCAGAGCTGTTAGATTCCCCCGAATCTCTTCGCGTCATTGTTTTCCAAATCTCTTCCCATCTTTCCTGGGCCACATCTGGTGCTGATGGCCTGGGACAGTGGTCGTGGGAATGCCAGGATTCTCAAAATCTCAGACTCCTAAGGAACCTGAGAGGTCATCCAGTCGAGCCAAAAGGGACTGAAAAGAGAGAAAGAAATGAGCCACGGAGAGAGTGGCTGTGTGTGTGTACTGGGGAAGAGAAGACGTGGTTGAACATCAAGGTTTTTGTTTCTCTCGTTTTCCCATGACTGTGATTGGTGTGGAGGTGGCCCCAGAGGACCTCTGGCCCCAATAAAGTTGTACTGAGGACGCGCGGGGCCACCTGGTGCAAAGACTGTGTGGCTCGCCAGTCACTCTGGAACGGACCCTCACCCTACCGTGTCTTCCCTACCCCCAGTTTCTGTTCCTCTTCTGCACTGTGGGAGAAAGGCGCCTGAGAGCAAAGCCTCCCCGCTCTTTCAGGCACGGAGGACACCCTTCCTCCCCCTGCACTCCTGCTTGTCTGCCCCCAGCAGGGTTTTTGCCTCACTCGGCCAGGGGGCTGGGAAACAGAGCTCACTCCCAGCCCTTGACAAAGATCCCTTGAGAAAGAGCCATTGACAATGCCACTCGCAGTGGGAATTGGGTGGAAAGAGAAGGGGGGAGGGGAGGGGACGTGAGATCTGGCCTTCAGTGTGGAGGCACAGTGGCTCTCGGGTGCTATTGTGGCTGCAGACTTGACCTGGGCTTCACCGGGGGCACTGGACGGGGGTGGGCGTTCTGCCCAAG